TACCCGCCACTTCCAGCTGCCCAGCCCAGGCCCGGTCTCTGCACTCCCTCCGCTCTCCCTGGGACCCTCATCCATGCCGGGACCTCCACCATCCATCGTGTGGTCTCCGGCTGTCCATGGCAGCCACTGCCCGCTCTGCCCGGCCCGCCCCCTCCTCACCCAGTCTCAGTGGACATGAGAATCCTGCTCCTGGCAGCAGGAAGGGAATGGTCACGGAGGGAGGCCAGTTTCCAGCTCTCCTCCTGTGGGCTACCTAGCATTGCAACGACTTGTTCTGGAAGTAGACATGCAGGACCAGCCACCAACCACAGGACCTTGGACAGGAGCCCGCCCTCTCCTTTCCTGAGCTGCAAAATGGGATTATTTGTGGAGACTGAGCTGAGGTGTGGGACAGAATGGCAACTTCTCGCCCCAGCTCTGCACCCCCTGCTCTGCCAACCCACAGGCCATGGGGTGTGCTCCAGGCAGACGTGCTTCCACACCTGGGAGAAGGCTTGCAGGGGGCAGCAGCACTGTGAAGGCAGGACCTGGGCCCACATCTGGCTTGAAGAGAGGGAAGCTGAGATCCCACATCTTCAAGGAGTTGGGGGGACTCAGTGACTAAGCGCATGAGTCCCTCCTGTCTCTTGTGTCACTATCACATTCCCTTGGCCTGGATTTCCCGGGTCCCCAGGTGACACATCTGAAGGAGTAGGACCCTCAGAAAGAGAGTGATGGGTCCATGACCACTACCTCCCCAGGCAAGGGCCCCCGTGGAGAAAGACAGTTTGCTGCACTCGGTCTAGGCAGTACCCCTCCACAGCCAGGAAACCTGCCTCTAGGGCTCACCCTTCCTGTGCCCCTTGGTCCCTCCTCCACCCCAAGGTCTCCCTGGGTGGAGGGAGTGCTGTTGAGGCTTCTCCATCTCAGAGTCACCAACACCCGGCACAGAGCTGTTTGCTGGGTCCATGAAGGGCACACAAGCACACAAACAGACTCCCTGTTCCACAGTCCTTGCTCTGTCACATTCTGTGGCCAAAGCCTCGCCCGCTCTACCAGGTACCTCCTCTGGGTCCAGGACTGTGAATGGTGCACGGATGCTCCAGCATTCCAAGCCCTCACCCAAAGCCTTGGAGCCAGATGTGTTTGGAACTCACAATTTTCCTATGCACTGTACCTGATGTGGCACCTCTTTGGACCTCATAATCAAACACATTGGTGTTTCCATAGTGATGCAGATAGTTGTCACAACTGGAATAAAGAAAGGCTACAACTAATGGCTGTGCATCAGTTCAACCTGTGGGTTTCAGAGCTTTGGGGAATTATGATAAAGAAATGTGTATGTGTTGGAGTGGGGAGGCAGGAGGGGAAGGAGCTCGAAGTGTCAGGCAGGACATCTGAGCATTGGGCCAGAAGTACTCTGTGGAAATTCCATCTTAGAAGGCCTGGAGCTTTGCAAAAAAGTCTAATTGGTCAGT